GCCTTACGAATTTTATACTGTTCCGTTTCCATGGGCATGGTCACTTAGTCTCAAGACTACGACTTTCGAACAACGTATTTATACTTCGTCTGACAATCGAAGTGGAATGCTTACATTGTGTCGTGTGATTTCATTGAGAAAGTTTCTATTTCACTTAATCTCAAATCTTCTCTGCTTTATTGCAATCTATTTCTGAGCAATTTCCAGTCAATTACCCATGCTCGTCCATACTGACTTTAAGAGATTTTCGTCTTAGCAACGTTCTATTTTATGTTGGCATCATTACTAATCTTTGCCAATGCACTTTCCCAGCAATGCACTTCGTCTTCTCTACTCCTTTTCGCCCCCATACCACTCGTATTGCAATTCGACTACGTATAATGAAACTTGTACTCATGGTTACCGTTCGGTCTTCAAGTCCAACTCAAGCATGTCTCATTCTTACGGTAACTGACCCTCTTAGTCTTCTCACAATTTTGTCTACTCTAGACCCTTCCTCTCATTCCCACTGGCCTGAGTATAGTACTGCCCGCAACTCACTCTGCGACCCCACAGCGAGGATGCAGCTTATTCCCGAGGCCGTGGAGGGTGGATGGGAAGTTGTCAGCTCAAGACGTCTTTTCAACTTTCGTACTGAGCTTAGTGTGAAAATTCATCTCTGCGTGTGGATCGCAAGCAGAACAACGGCCTTTGTCTTGGCGACCCAATAGCCCTTCTTGGAGCTCTCTTTTTTCTGTCCATCCATTTTCATTATTTTCACATTTTCACACTTGGGCCATCCACACCTGGACGTTACAGTTCTTGAAGGGCTTCTGGATGTTCTCAGCCCCGAACGGTTATCGTCCTCAACGTAAACGTCACCATCTGTCTGATCGCTGGGAAATTACGTTCACGAATTTCTTGGGGTACATTTGCTCGTCGGTACGATCTCAACTAAACGTCTCAACAGTCTGTATGACCCATTTTCTTTCACCTCAACTTGTCGACGGTTATTTTGAAATGTACTTTTCAGTTCTTTTGAAATGCATACCTGTCATTTAGCATAATCCTTAATACGTCTGTTGCGCATGCACTTATTTATATTCTCATGCTGCTAATTGTTTTTCTCTAACTTCTTTCAGAAGAACGCAAACTCTTCGTCGGCATGCTAGGCAGGCATCAAAATGAGGACGACATTAGATGCTTCTTCTCCTCGTATGGCCAGATTGAGGAGTGCACTGTACTTAGAGATCAAAATGGCGTCAGCAAAGGTGAGTCGCCACTTTTATACTATGACTATCATCGTAATTATCATTAATGTCATCATCAACTTTGCCAGTTTTCAACAATCATTGCATAACCGCCCTGTTTGCTAAGATGGGAAACTTTTCTTTTTTCTCTTATGTTTCTATTGCAAGTTACCATAATAACTTATTATATTTTCTATTTCTTCTAATAACCACTCTCCTTCCAAATTTGTTGCCAACTACTCGGATATATACGGTGTTTTGAAACCTTTCCTGGGCTTTTGCCTTTCTGCGATTGTTCAAGATTGAATATTTTCCAATCTGAACATTGTATCCTTTCCACGTACAGATTTGGCGTGTTGTGCTAATCAGCCAAGTAACTCAAACCCGCCTATCATTAATTTGAATGAAAAAAACCCCAGAGAATATAATTCACATCCGACGCTTCTTTAAGGTTCTACACTTCATTCCCTTCATGTCCCGGTTTCACATGGAGAAACATGTGCATTTATACATTTTGTTTGTTTTTAGGGCATCTGCCTGCATTTCATTTCATCTTTTCAACATTCTGTTACATCAGCATGTATTAGAATTTTCATGTCACCTTTCCTATCCCCACTAGATATGCGTTACGTGATCCTTGAATTTATATTATTGCTGTTTACATGTGACCATTGGCTAGTCTCTGACAGCCTCGTAATATCGTTGTCTCAGTCAATGACAATCAAGACAATGACACTCATTACGGCTGTGCTTTTTATGTGTGTAGGCTGCGATTGGGGTCAGCAAGTAGCCGACGTAACAACCTTTCGAACCAAAGTGCAATATTTTAAACAACATAGAATAACCGAAGGTATTAGGACCAAGATGGTGTGGCTTTTTGTATGCTCGCAGTCTCATTTCGTTGTATACATGTTGTTTGACCTTGTTTTCGCAACATGGTCATATTGGTAGGAAGACTTAGAGGAACGCATCTAGTCCGGA